ATATATATATATATATATATATATATATATATATATATATATATATATATATCAAAACTTATAAGAGAAGTTGAAGCTTGGCTTTTAATGGAACTGATCTCAGCAAAAAAATAACTTGTGAAAACTTATCTAGTCATACGTAAAAATTGCTAGTCATAGCTTGCATAATTATTTTGCAAAGCTACTTATTTATTTTAGAGGTTGTAAATGCACCATGGTGTGATAGGAGATTTATTCTATTTAAATTTTACTTTTTTAAATTCTATAAATAGAATTATATTGAACTGTATGTGCACACACATACACACATAGTAATTTAATACAACGCTGTAAGACTCTGTATAAATAAATAATGTAATACGTTTAATATTCCACCACTTTGAAATTACAAATAAATCTCTTTCATATACTTCGTATATTATATTTTTTAATTTTATAGCTCAACGAGAGAAATAATTGAGTCATACGATATGTAAGGACGAAATATTAAGTATAGAGCGGTTTTGTAGAAAAAAATTTATTCAGAGTGTACAAATAAAAAACTTAAATCTTTCAAACTCTCTGTATGAATAACATGTCTTAACCATATATATTGTACATATTACAGATTGTAATTTACCTCTCTCGTGGCGTTCGAGCGTCACATAAGTCACGAAATATTTTACGATCGAGATATGGTAAAATCAACTACATGTTCTTATTGAAGAGGAAGACGTATATAGCACACAAACAAATTTCCCTAAAGTAAGCAAAATTATCAAACCAATTTCCAGAAGCGTGGATTCGTAACCTATCGTCGAGTCTTCACAAAGACCTTCGCATTCACTTCTAATAAAATATTATGCGCGATAAACTATCCAAACGAATTAAAACACACGGCGTATAAGTATTAATTTATCTATTTCTCTAAAAAAATATTTATCAATGTTATAATTACACGAAAATTATTGCAAACTCATTCATATGTGTTACATGCGATCTTTGAATTTAATTTTATGAACTTAATACGACTATTGATTTTGTTACTACTAAAACGCACGTCTATCGTTATAATGTTCACTTTTCTGTATATCTCATCGCATCTATGCTAAAAATACACATTCTAATATATCTACAGAATAATATACTGAACTCAACATTCTATTCTTTGCAGATGCAATACAACAGATTTATTCTAAATAGAATCATTTGCAAACAATTTGATTGTATTTACAGAAAACTTAAACCGAAATTTCAATTTCATGGGGAAATGTCACACGAAAACTTCTTCGCGCTTTTAAAAACAAACGATCAATAAAATCGGAGCAAAGGAGTTAGAGGCCTTGTTGGTCACTATTGCGATATAGTAAAGATAACAATAGAAACAAGAATCTCTCTGTATTTAGCTGGTATGTGAAAACTTTGCTGTTTTATTTCAGGAAAAACAGTCGATGATATTTTCCGTGTTCTTTGATTGTTTCGTGACACAAAGACATTGCTGCGAGCACACGAGATACTTGAAAAGCTGCGAAATATAAGTAATATGGCCAAGAAATTTTTTATTGAAAAAATTCTATCAGACCTAAAACACAACATTGTATATTAAAAAACACGGCCGTGTTTTGAACGCCGAGTTTTAAACGCAACTTCTACTTTCATCAAATAAACTTATAGAAGTAATTTTCCTTGAAGACAATATGACTATATAACGAATAATTTTATATTTATATACTACAAGATTAAAAATATAGGCATTGCACTACTGATTAAAATATAAAACGTATTAATCGTTATAAACAAAATTGCTACAATGTATTACATCTCATATATATGTTCTTTATAAAAAATATAAGAATAGTCTTAGAATAGTCGGATAAATATTCTATCGTTTCGATCGTTGTTACAAAAAGGGAGGTCGGATAATTAATCTATTAATATATGAAAATCGAATGTCCCACGATAACTTTCATATATTGGAGCGTTTTTACTATTTGTTAATCTCTTACTATTTAACACTGTTATAAATTCGATGGCATGCGTCTATAACAAAGGAGATTGTGCATTCGACGGAAATATTAATGATCACAGAATAAAAATTTCGTAACGCACTTTGAGAGAAATTGCCCTCAAAAAATATGAAAATACAATAACTTCAATTTTCAATGTCAACGTCCATATCTGTGTGTGCTATTTCTATCACAAACAGTTTTCGGCATTATATGTATATATATATATATATATATATATATATATATATATATATATATATATATATAT